AGACAAACTTTAGAACTTAAGCCAGTAACCAAGTGTATTGGGGTTTAACTAGAAACCTGGCAATACTGAAGAATGCAAGATTAACCAAATACCAAAGTAGTAATATATTAGGCTAAAACATTGAGACAATAATGGACACATAAGGTTCATGTAAGCAGAAGAGCAGTAGAACATGCATGAGGGATTCATTGGAAAGAAATTCACTCAAACAAGTTCTGGGCAGGAGATAACATCCTTAGGAAATGTAGAAACCTAAGGCAAGGCATGAGGAAAGGCTTTTGAAGAGCAGCTAGTAATCAGAGTAGCATAACAAGCTGAGAATAATCATAAATTATTCAATTCCGCACGTATAACAGGCATGAAACTCAGAATTCAAGTAGGTTAAGATAAACAGGGGCATAAGACAATGAACAGAGGCAAACAATATCGTATTGATTCACCAAAATCAGGATTTCATGAACACCAATAGAAAAGAATAAATTGCTAGAGTCTTATTACTCACCAATTTGCAGAATTAACGAACTAGTAAGGCAGAGATTGAGAACCAACAACTTGCTTATTAGTAACACGGAGAGAACAGCAAAAACCCCAAATTTTTCAGTGTGTCAGAGTTCTCGAGGGCCTCAAATAAACCCAGGGCAGTGCTCACACTGAGAGAGGTTGAATAATAGAACTCTGGTGGCCTTGGCTTTCAGCCGGCCAAAGTCTCAAATTTCAGAGTAGTAAAATGAGTGGGAGTGAGAGAATAACAATGATTAAGGTCAGTTCAAGGGGATCTAGGGGAGGGGTTTATATAGTAGTTAAATCAGACAAGTAATAAGGAAAGAAGTCAATCAAACATAAACAAGGAAGGGAAAAATATACATGCAATCATAAAGCAACCAGTAAAGGAAAGAAATCGAAATTCAATTTCTAATTAGGGTTCAATGTTTGAAAATCCATCTACTAGTATGAGAAATCAACTATTCTTCTGTGTATATGGACGAGATATTGTCCAGATCTTAGCGATTGAAGTTGAACGGGCCTGAATCCGAGATATGGTACTTGCCAAGTTTAGGCAAGTACTAAGTAACACCATAGTCTTGCAAGTAACAACGAGGTAACGCATAAAAGGTAAATAAATCACAGAAGGAATCTATGATTTGCTCGGATCTGGAGAAGATTGGGAGGCGGCTAGGGTTTCTGAAGGAGGGAGAAGGAGAGATGAGAGAATACAGAGGAGGCGGGGTGGGGATTTGTCTCTAGGGTTTGGGGTTATGGGGACATAAGGAAAGGGAGTGGAGTGTTGTGAGCCGTTGATCGCGTTTAATCAACGGCTGGGATCTGAGAAAAGCTGGGTCGGGTTTGGACTGGGCAAGGTCGCTTGGGTTGGGCTTCTGGGGGGTTAATCAAAGTTTGCTGGTTCATTTGGACCTTAATTGGCCCGAAATTAATCCTAATTTTGGGCCAGATTTTAAAATATGAAATTAAGGGGAAAATAATTTAATAAAAATAGTTAAATAAGATATAAAAATGCTATTTATGCAAATTAATACCTTAAAACAATAGTAGAGTATTATAAAAATTTAAAATATTATTTTGACCTTGAATAAAATGACAAATGCAATAAAGTTGTAAAATATAGGCTATTATTGCAAGATTGTGCAAATAGCCTAAAAATACTAATGTAATTATATAAAATGAAGTAAAAAAATATTTGAAACATGTATTATGGATGCAAATAATAATTTTAGGTGATTATGTCGTCACAAAATAATTTGAAGGAGTAACTAATAAATATTCAAGTGATTTAAATGTAAGAAAATCAATTTTAAATCTCTAAAATTATGAAAAATTATAAAAAATACTTGTATAAATTTTGTAAACTAAATAATGATGCAAAATGATATTGTGAAGGTATACATACTATTTGAAAAAGTATGAGGGCAAAATTGGGTATCAACAAGGTGAAGAACACAATTGTATAACAACTTTTTAGAAATGTGTCACCATTTGTATCACAAGTGTATGAGAATTATGTAAGTATTATATTAGGTATCGTTTTAGGCATTAATGTATCAAATACAAATTAGATATAATTGCGATACATGTATGATACATTTATGATATAATTATATTTTAGGTGTTACCACCAAAAGATGTGGTGTAGCGGATGGGGCTGCTCTTTCCTTAACCAGAGGTCTCGAGTTAGAGCTCTGGGTATGGAAAAATCCTTGGTAGAGGGTGCTTCCCCCCGAATGGGGCCCTGCGCGGCGTGAATTTGAATATAGTCGGGCTCCAATGCGGGTACCGGATACCGGATACCGGGTGAGAAACCAAATTTTTTTTTTAGGTATTGATATATCTGATACAATTATTATACAATAATCATGCAATTCCTACAACTTCTTCTTCTTTGAGTTTTAATCTGAATTTTCACCTAAAACTAATTATATACTTAACCATTCTCTCTCAAAATTGAGATATAAACTCTAAAGGATATTCTCAATCACTTGCAAGAACATCCAATCCACACAAATCACAAAATCTTAAAACCTGAAATTATATGTATGTATGCTCGAGAATCATATGTATTTTTGGTCTTCGAATGGACCTATTTGTGGACGAGTGTGTTAGGCAAACAAACTAAAGAAATTAGGGAAAGGGGAAAAAAGGAGAGAGGAGAAGAGAGGAAAAAACGAACGGATTTAATCAAATCACTTAATTGAAGGTATTAATACCGGGGTAGGAGCCTTTTAAAGGGAATACATATACAATTTGTAAGAAAAATCTAGATACATATTGAAAACTACAAAACCTAAAGAAAATAGGCAAATAAGTTTCTATTATAGTATATATAAGAAAAAGGAAAAATATCAGCTATGTCCATTTATAAGTAGCTTATTACAAAAATTGGTCAATTCATAAAATAATATTAGCTAATTAGCTATTTGTAGCTAAAAAATGTCAAAATTTTACTTTTTTAATGGTGTTATTAGAATAGATTGGGTACATCTTAAGGAGCTTTAATCTCAATTTTGGGATGATATGGTGAAGTGATGAGGTGGTTTGAATTGAAAACTTGAAATAGAAGATGAACATTAAAAAAATGATAGGTGTATCACACTGTGTATCACATATGAATCATATTTGTATCAAATATGTATCACATGTATATCCATGTATACCTGCGTGTGAGATACATGCGCGATACACTTTTGATACATGTGTCGCTGAAGAATTTTTTGACCTCGATTTTAACTACAAATTCTGATACCAAAACCAATCCAAATCACCTCCAATCTTCCTCAAATTTTATATATTGACTCATCTCTATATTTTCAATGAATCTCAACCATACCCATTGAAAAAGTCCCTTTTTGCTTAGATTTTTGGAATCATATATATATATATATATATATATATGTATATATATATATATATATATCATCACCTTATTTGCTACCTCATCCATGAAATTTCCTTTCCGTCTTGCATCTAATGATGCCAATCACACTTTAAAATATGAAAGGAGATCTTCGTGTGTGATTCTTGGAGAGAAAGAACTTTATTTCTTTGGGTTTTTAATTTTTATATGTGTTTGGCTAGTTTTGGTAATTCTATGATTAATGGCTAGAGGTTTGTAAGTTGTGACTTTTTTGGGACATTGTTGTAAGATTCCCTAAGAAAAAAGGGGAAGTGCACGGTTGGCCACTAATAACACATGTATTTACTTTTAAGCCACCGTTTAAAATGTCTTTAGTCTTTAGCCACTGCTTTAATAAACTTTAACTTCCTGGACGAAAATACCCTTCTACTCATGTCCTTAACCTTTGTACTTAACTTCAGGACTTCAGGACTACATATCCTTAACTTTTGAACTTGGAACTCTAAGTTCAGGACTACATGTCCTTAACTTTTGAACTTGTAACTCTAATTTGCAGGACTTCAAGGCATAATGTCCTTAACTTTTGAACTTGGAACTCAAACTTCAGGACCAAGCGTTCTTAACTTTTGAACTTGTAAGTCAAAGTTAAGGACCTATTGTCCTTAACTTTTGAACTTGTAACTGTAAGTTAAGGACTGTTTGTCCTTAACTTTTGAACGTGTAACTGTAAGTTAAGGACTGTCTGTCCTTAACTTTTGAACTTGGAAATCAAAGTTAAGGACCTATTGTCCTTAACTTTTGAACTTGTAACTGTAAGTTAAGGACTGCCTGTCCTTAACTTTTGAACTTGTAACTATAAGTTAAGGACTGCCTGTCCTTAACTTTAGAACTTGTAACTGCAAGTTAAGGACTGCCTGTCCTTAACTTTTGAACTTGTGTCCTTAACTATTGAACTTAACTTTAGGAATTCAGGACTACATTTCGTTAACTTTTGAACTTGAAACTCTAAGTTTAGGACCATGTCCTTAACTTTTGAATTTAACTTTAGGACTTTAGGACTACATGTCCTTCACACAATTATCTTTGTCCTTAACTTTTTGGCTTTTTACCATATTTTTCCTAATTATGTGTTGTTTAAGAAAATCTAAAATTCACTTCTTTTAGAAAACTAAAAGTCGCGTCCTCCCACGTTGTGATTATTATGAGTGAAACCAAGCAATTCAACTCCTGAAAGCAGACACAAAAGAAAATGAGAGGCTTATAAAATTTATATGATTAATGCATTTCGTTTCTTCTGCTCAAAATTGGGTTTCATATATGAAAATAATGGAAACATTCATACAGACCCCAGAATGCCATTGCAGAAGGAGAAGTGGAGCTGTAAGGAATGGATCTGAAAATGGCGTATTTCCGTTTGGGAAGGAAAGGGTAATACTGCCTTTTCATATTAATTTTAATAGACTAGTGGCTACTTTTGCTCAGCATTAAAAATGCCGAATAAAAAGTAAATACCACATTAAAAAGTGGTTACCCCACGCAATTTTTACTAAAAAAAATTCCAATTTTTTTCTAAAAAGGTCCATCTAGCTAATTCATTTAAAATTACCCGGCCCAAATATATTGTCTGCATCATCTCCACTTCGTTCCATTTCTGTTTTCCACACACGTTTGAGAAAAACTGCATCTCTTCTTCCTCACTCGCTCAACACATCACTCAGCTTCTCCTTTCTCAAGTCTCAACCAGACCAAACATGTTTTTCCACATAGTATTAGAGAGAAACATGCAGCTTCATCCCCGTCACTTCGGCCGTGACCTTCGCGACAAACTCGTTTCCAAACTCATGAAAGATGTCGAAGGCACTTGCAGGTTTCATTTAAATAAAGCAAACCCTAATTCATATCGAATTTTGCAATTTCCTTTCATTTAACATTAAATATCGTTTAAATTGATTGCTTTAAGATTTTGGGTTCTTCAGTGGTCGGCACGGTTTCATTGTGGCGATTACTGGGATCGAAAGCGTTGGGAAAGGTTTAATTCGTGACGGGACAGGTTTTGTTACGTTTCCAGTGAAGTATCAATGCGTTGTGTTTCGACCTTTCAAAGGTGAGATTTTGGAAGCTGTTGTTACCATGGTTAACAAGGTAAGAAATGTTTCATTGCACTAAAGTTTTGTCATGATTCACATAGCTTGGAATAAAATTGAATAGTCGACTCCAACTAATTTGTGATTCAGAATTAGATTGATTGATTGACCTATAGATATGTTCTTTACGATAGTGGTGTCCAAACCAACTTGTGCGCACCTTGACTATTCTACCTGGTCCTTGTAGTCAATTTGGAAGAAGGAGAACTTAAGCTCTATGTACTACCTCTCACTAGCACAATTACCGGGCTCGTAGTCCATTAGGAAGGAGGAATGAAGCTCTATGTACTACCTCCCACTACCACAGTTTCAAGGTAACTCTGCTTACCAAGGTTTAGGCAGATTGGAGAAAGTTAGCTAGTGTTTTATTAAAATGGATCATGATTCATATAGCTTGGAATAAAATTGAATAGTCAACTCCAACTAGTTTGGGATTCAAAATTAGATTGATTGATTGACCTATAGATATGTTCTTTATGATGGTGGTCTTGTGCGCACCTTGACTATTCTACCCGGTCCTTGTAGTCAATTTGGAAGAAGGAGAACTTAAACTCTACGTACTATCTCTCATTAGCACAATAACTGGCCTTGTAGTCCATTAGGAAGAAGGAGAAATGAAGCTCTATGTACTACCTCCCATTAGCACAGTTACAAGGTAACTCTGCTTACCAAGGTTTAGGCGGATTGTAGAAAGTTAGCTAGTGTTTTATTAAAATGGATCATGATTCATATAGCTCCGAATAAGGGCTCGAATAGAGTGGACTTGATGCAGATGAATTAAATAGTTGAATCCAACTAGTTTGGATTGATACTAAGATTGATTGACTGACCTATACATATATGATTGTCAAATATTGTAGATAGGACTTCCAAGGTAAAAAAATGTTCATTACATTAAAGTTGGTCATGATTTCTATGTAGTGAATAAAGAATCTTCAATAGTGTATAAGGGATATAGACAATCATATAGCTGACTCTAGCTAGTTTGAGATTGAGACTTAGATTAATTGATTGATGGACTTACAATCTATTTTATGATTGTGAAATATTGTAGATAGGACTTATCCAAGGTAAGAAATTTTCATTGCATTAAAGTTGGTTATGATTTGCATAATATTGATTTGAGATGAGTTGAGTTTAAATGGAGCAACAAGTTCAGTGGGTACTGAGACATAATAGTAGTTGTTGTAAAGTTGGTAATGATTTATATAGAGCGAATAAACAGGCTTGAATAGTGTAGAATGGAGGTAGGCTATCATATATCTGACTCTAACTAGTTTGGGATTGAAACATAGATTATTGATTGACATAGGATACATTATGAATGATTAATTGATTGGCCTATACATATTTATGATTTTGGACATTGCATTTGCAAGGAAAAAGATTTCATTGTATTTATGTTAGTCTTGGTTAGGGGTGACAAACGGGCGGGTCGGGTCGGATATGAGCATGTTGAAAACGGGTAATGCAAAAACAGATAAATTATCCGACCCGAACCATATTTAATACGGATAATAAATGGGTTAACCAACAAATAATATGGATATCCATCCATATTATCTATGGCTTCTTGAATATGATCACTTTTGGGAGGAGTCTTAGTCTCCCAAACTTGAGGAACCCCCAATTTGAGGCTTTACAAATGTAAAAGTTAAACACATTAGTTATCCATTTTCTAAGTGGATAATATGGTTCTTATCCATATTTGACCCGTTTTTAAAAAGTTCATTATCCAACCCATTTTTAATAGATAATATGTGTGGATAACTGATTTCTTTTATCCATTTTGCCACCACTAGTCTTGGTAGTGAACTCTAATTAGTTTTACAAGATAAATTAATTGCCAGTTAGGAATCAAATGAGTCTCAATAGAGCAGAACCAGAATGTATATAGAAGATTCATATATGTAGTCGATTCCAAGTGGTTTAGGCGGCATAGTTGATCAATTGATTAATTGGTTAAAGTTAATTAAGTTTTTTCCCTCTACCTATAGATACTTATATGTGTGGAATATTGCAGATGGGATTTTTTGCTGAAGCAGGGCCTGTGCAGATTTTCGTTTCAAATCATGTGAGTTTTTCTCGGATCTTGAATATTTAGACCAGCATATATTGCTGATCCGCATACCTGCTGTACATTTTTTAAGCATTGCATACCACTGGGGCACCCTGCTATATGCATGAGTGCATGGATCAAATTTAAATATGGAAATTTAATATGAAGATGAAATGTAATTTGCATGTATTTTTTGTTGTAGAAGCTTGAATATCAACTTCTATTAGAAAGGCAAATTGTTGATTCTTGAAACATGTTTTGGTTCAAACTTAATAAAATGTTTCCACATTTTCTTGTAACTTTTCTCGTTTATTTTGGAAACCCCTTTGGTGATGCAAGCTCTCAACTGGTTTGTTGAAAGTGGATGACTCTATCACTAGAGCAAACCCTCACTAATGCAACTATCTTATCTGTATTATAATGAGTTAAATCCATAAAATATTCAGGATGAATCCAGAATTCGATTCTTATATAGTATTAGCTTTAACTTGAATATCTAGTTTGAGTTTATGCTTGACTATATTACTCGTATTGGTTAAGTGTTCCACCAAGCGAACTTAAAATAAATAAATAAATAAATATTGCGCCAAGCTAATTTAGTACTCAGCTAATATAAGTAGTGCCTTTAGAATTATGCTAGGACCAAATTGTTCATGACACTCATGCTAAACATTTTTAGAGTTAAATTATATTGAGTTTACTACCTTAAGTGAACTTCACCGGTCCTAGGTTATGTATGCGTGACTAGTGGTCGGAAATGTAAGCCTCTGATGGGAATAGTAATAGTCCTCGAGTACATTCATGCTTCAACAGAGTTTATAAACCAACTAAGAAAAGATGGTAGATATTATGTAGCCAAGTGATAGAGAATGATTTGTACACTTGAGGAGTAGTCTCTTATCTCTTATATCATTTTGGTGCACCCACGAGATTCCTATTTGTATTGAGGTTTGGTTGACTCTTTTAGAAAGCCATATCTCTTTGTAAGGTCTTCTACTTTTTGGTATACCATATACTTATACAGGTGATTTTGGCCCTTCATTAATAAAAGCTCTTACTTTACCAGATATGCAACCAAGTGTCACATAATACTATACTATAGTAGATGACAGAATTGAGAATGCCAGCGTCTAACAAAATTTAATCTAATCTATCTCCATCGTTGTATTTCCCTTTTCAAGATAATGAAAGCAGTTTATTAGCACAATGGATCTTATCAAAAAAGTTTATTAGAACAATGGAGGAATCCCATATAAAAAAACATACAACATGAATAACTGCTATGTGAAAAGATAGTTTTACCCTTCTTATCCTTTTGTATTTACTTCTTTAATAACTTACCCAGCTATCTTAGCTATCACCCAACGCTCATATCGAGCAGATCCATAGTCACGACCTGTTTTCTGAAAAATTAAGGCGGCACCCGATACCATTTACTTGCACCAAGTGAACCAACTAATCTGTTCTACCCTTGGCATGCTTTGTACAACTTTGTGCAATCTTTGAGAAGAAGTAAATCATAAACTTTGAAAACATCTTTAAACTTTCATATTCGTAACGTCATAATGAAAAGTGTTGTTCTTACATGCCATATAAGTGCTTATGCAAAAAGGGGAAACCATAAGTTACATCTTCATATGAAGTCTATAAGACATGAAGAAAGGATGAAATACACGAGATGGAAGAGTTTTGGGCTATCCCACAAAATAAATGAAATACCAAAAAGGAAATGCCTCCACTGTAAGCAAAAATGGAGCTCACTAAAGGTCTGTGGAATGTGAGGGAGATTCTAGCTTGCAGTCTGATTATCTGCGGCACCTATACCTATAATGACATAGTTAAAGTAGCGTTCCCACAAGGGAGCATGAGCACGACTTCCTCGTAGTGAGTATCATTGATTCCCTCACTAAAGCTGGAATGATGACTTAATAAAACATGATGTTTAAAGTATAAATTCTTAATGCGTGATATAACATTAAAGCATTTGAAATCATTTAAAGCAATTCTTATGAAGATCTTAAACATAAGCTCAAATATAAACTTGTCTTTTCAGGGGAGTGCCATTCGACTTTGACATTCTTTCTTATTTAAGTCACCATATGACCAGTATGACGGGCGATCCCTGCCCGATCGATTGGGACATCTCCCCATGTTGCCACACGGTTTTACGTTTCTTTGTTAGCATATGTAGTTGCCTTACCAGGGCAACTTGTCGTACAGCTGAGTCAACGACTACTACCATATCTTGGTACGAGTAGTTTCAGGGTAAATCACAGTCCAACCAAGGCTTCGAATACCCTTCTTATATATATATCTAAGGTGGCTCCCAAAACACTTGATAAAAGCTTTTACTTTGGCACATTAGGCCTAGACTTTGCATAACTTTATCATTCATAACTTGTCATAATATTCGTTACATGAAAACATAATTCAAGTATTCAAATAATTCTTGGAAATTTATAATGAAACTTGATAACTTTCATAGAATTTAAGTCAATTGAAATCATGTAAACATAACTTGAAAGGGATCAATTAAACACTTATATTATGTCACTTTAGCAATTGAAACATAGTTCAAAATATTTATAGATAATGCATACTCACTCATTGCAGTTGAACACACATTAATATTCTCAAACATTTTATCGAACTTGTTGAAGGCATGAACTTAGTGAGAAAAGACCTTAACTAAAGGTACATCTTAACTCACCTCAAAATCTCTTCAACTAAACATATGCTCCAATGTGTCCAAAGAAGTTCAACAATCTACATAAAATTAAATTCCATCAACAACTGTCCTTAATCATATATCCTAATGGGAAGTGTAATCAATTAGCCAATGTTTTTCAATTCACCATTTCGAGTCTTTCTGTTATAAATCAAGTCCACCTACCCCATTCCCATACTTATTTCCTTAAAATCATAAAAGTTCTTGTTTCCAAACACCCAATAATTATCTATCATCCCCCCCCTCCCCTCCCCCCTCCCAAACAACCTTCCAACCATTACCATTAATGGCCACTGTTAGGGTTTATGAGCCCTCAACATTCAATCACTAACAAATCTCATAAAGACATGTAATAGATAAATTGGGAATGATGAATTACCTAAGTAGACCAAAATTTGAAAATTAAACTTTGTAGTGTTCTTGTTCTCTTTGAAGATTCGGAAGAAAACCTATGATCTCAACGTAGCCCCATTTTATTACCAATGTTAATGGGACGAAATTATCACAAATATGCCCATAAAACTAACCTCAGTGGTTAGAGTTGCCAAAGGCGGCTTTTGAAGTCGTGCCCTTGGGTTGGAAGATGAGAAAAATGAACCAAATCACATTATGGGGGCTTCTTCTAAGCCCTAGGTATGTAGGCATACGTGCTGGCAAAGCCAGGACTTGCCCGTGCACATGGAACCTCAGGATGCATGCCTCGCCCTGGGCAAGCACGGGTATTCCCCGACAGGCAACCTTCAGTAAAATGCTCATAACTTTTTGTAGAAATATCCGAATGACTAAAACTTTGAAGCATTGGAGACTAGAGTTTAAGTGCTTTAAGTTGATATCTTATTCATAGGCAAATATATTATTCATTGCTAGTTGAGACCATTTGAAGGTAAGCCTTGTGTCACTTGTTTGGATCTCTGGCCCCTTGCGTAGTTTCCAGCTTATATTGTTCCTCAGGCTTCCTTTAAACTCCAAATCATTTCCATTTCATGCCAATAACCTATCAACCATACTTCCATTTTTTCAATACCTTGATTCATTTGATTAGCGCGTAATTTAAAATGACTTAAGCTCAAACGCTCTCGAAATTTAGCTGGGCACTGTTGGCTCTGCAATGCTTAATTGCCTCATAATTGTATCCCTCTGTAATCAACTCATTCTTGAGTTCCTCCCTAGTGCATTTGTTCTCATTTCTCTTAGACAAAGGAGACAGAAGGAGAGTAGAGGAAAAGAGAGAAAAATTTTGGAATGAAAGAAGAGGTCTTTGCTGTGTCTTAAGGCTATGAGGGAAGAAAGTAATATCATTGATATGCAAGTTTCTTCTCTGTTTTATAATATGATTGAAAACAACGGAACAGTTTGAATTGGTTTGCCATACAAAACATGGAAGAACTCTTTGGTTCCTTGACCAAAATTTCAAAATGAAAGTTGAAGGGCCCCCTAGAAAGGAATAAAGGCTCAATTTTCTATACCTGAACTTGTAACTTAGATCATCGTACTTTCTCCATTTTGTCCTAGCAGACTACATGCATTATCTTGGACAAAGAATAAAAGATCGTGAATGAAATTGGTGCTAAGACATTGTTTTTTTGTTTGTTTCAGTAGACATGAATTCAAATACACTAAGATTTCTTAAATTCACTTAGGTCTTATTACCTTTTCCATCTTGTCCTCCTTTACTGTATCCTTTTTAAAAAAAAAAAAATAAACACGCATTTTATTCAATCTCTGAAACAGTACATTGGTTTGAGGGAGTTATTACATCTAACAAATACCCTGAAATACATTGCAAGATAGATATTCTATCTTGGATATATTTGAGATGAAGTAAATACATGTGGTGAATGGAAACTAAGTCAACGAGACAACCAAGACTTAGTATCCAAACTCTACATGAGATCCACCAAAAAATTCTACAGCTACACGTATACAGGGAAAAAACAAGGAGGCTCGATGTGATTGTAGATATCTTCTTGTTGACGTAGCGAAAGGCAGGAATGCGCCACCTATCCATGTTTAGAAGGCCTTTAACTTGAGATGGAAGCTCAACAAACACTTGGTAAATCTGGGAGTGAGCAGAAACATGGCTTAATGATGCCACTTTGTGTGCAACGTGATTAGATTCTCTGAAACAATGATTTAGAACAATATGGCCTTGCCTCATAAACTTCTTGATGTCTTCTACCTCACTTGAGATCCTCCAAGGAGTAGCATTAGTACCTTTTGACACAGCCGACCAGTAGTTTGGAATCACTCTCGGCAATGATGTATTGAAAACCATTATTCAAACACCAATTGATTCCAACCTGTAACGCACCCAGTTGTTGGTCCCAGGCCCCAACGCCAATGCATAAACATATAGAAAATGCCCATAGATATTTCTGATCACCCCCCTCCTCCACATAGACCATTCTTACAACTTCCATCTGAGTTAAGTTTAACAAAACTTCGGGGAGGTCTTTCCCACTTAACTTTGATGGGTTGCTTGAAAGGAATAATGTTGTTCAGGAGTTGAGAAATTGGAATTTTCTTCCAATCTGAATCAAGCTTGATTCTGAGGAATTGCATATAACCAAGCTGAGAAATGGAGAATCCTATAAGGGATACTGTCCTATTCACTTTCAACCTTCCATTTACATACCTAATATCGCACCTTGCTCTCCAAATTTCCGAAGTAGCAATGATAGGCAGACTTTTAAGGATGAAAGAGTTTATAGGATCTGAGCTCGTTTACTCCGTCAATTAATAAGGATCTGCCTAAAAGGCATTCTCATGAAGGTAATACCCAAATGTTTTGTGCAAATCCTTTACTGTATCCTTTTTCTTGAACAAAGAATAAGCGGTCGTGACTGGAAGTGGCCTAATACATGCTGTTATTCGGTTCAGTAGACGTCAGGTCAAATGCACTTAGAGATTCTTTAAGTTTACTGCTCTACACTTCCGTAGTTAGTATGTCTAGTGGCTAGTGCATATGCATAGCTTTCTTATTAGCACCAGGAGTATAAGGACTCATCTTAGTGACTTAAGTTATATCTTTGAAAAGTTTGTAAAAGTTGTCTTGCTATCTCGAAAATTATTTACTAGTTGGCAGTGAAATTCTATCTATTCGAATTATGTTTGTTATTTATAGTTTAGAGTATCTCTGATATATGTAAAAGTAATTATTCTTTTCCCAGTTTATGCTAATATACACTCCATTTGATGCATGTAAAAGCTTATTATAGGCCTTTTCCTCACATTTGTTTGTGTTGACCCTTGGATTTCCTGCAGTTGATACCGGATGACATGGAGTTTCAGTCAGGGGATGTGCCAAACTATACAACTTCAGATGGTTCGGTATGTAATATTTATTTGCCTCTATGTTGCTTAGGTCCTCCAAAAATGCTGCAGCACCCATTTCGGATCCTTGATGACGTCCAATCCTACTCTCGATGTGAGTAATAGTACGGTTATTAGCCATGATAAACCCTATTAGGTTGGGGTCGAATCCCACGAGGAATGTGTGTGCGTGCTAGAGTGTCAAAATGTGTGAGAACTTGATGTTTCCTAATGTAAGCTACAACCAAGAGAGTGATTGTTCAATTACTTCTAAAGATTTCTAAAATTACTAAACTAGGCTAGGAACTTTATCGAACACGTTAAAAGTTGTTTGTTTTCTAATTAGAGAAAGACCGGGGTTATAACCTCAGTATGGCATAAATAGTTCTTGGGTGTACTTAGCTTGCCTAAATGTTAGTAATTATGATTCAGTTACTAGCTACCCACTAGAAATTTTTCAACTCTAGCAAGCTTATCCCTAGAATGTTCTTCCAAACACAAAGGAATGCACTAAAACCCAATTGATAATGAACCAAGTAGAGATCTCCCTATTCCTAGTTTGATTTCATTAACCTAGCTTCATTAATTCCTTAATAAGCTCAAATCCTTGCTACTTGTTAACTACCCAATCCAATTTCACCTTTCCAAGTAAGAAATAAACAATAGAGGGTTTAATCTAGTGTCTGCGACTACCAAGTTAACAATAAAGCATGAAAACAAGTAGATAATCACAACCCAAGTAATAATAAACAAGATATAACAGATACACATTCACATTAATGCCATAAGAGTTTATAACCTAGCTATAAAGCTTAGTTACTCATACTAGAAATGGAAAATAAAAGTTGGATGAAAAGATAAACATAATTAAAGACTAATAAAGTAAGAAAATCCAAACACAATGGTGAAGACCCTCCAAATCCTTGCTAAACTAGGTTAAAAACTGGTGTGTTACTCTAACGAATGAAAAATGACCTAATAAAATGAGCTAAGATTCTATTTATAGTAGCCTGAAAGTCTCGACAAAAATGCCCTTGCAGTGCTAAATCGTGGAGTCGAAAATATTTCGTCTCCACCTTTTTGCTTGTCTTCCATTCTTGTCTTGCTTTAGATGATTTTCGTGGATTGAAATCGTGGAGCGGAAATATTCCGTCCACCTAGACAGATTTTTTGTCCAAAATCATGGAGCTGAAATTGTTTCATCTCCATGTTTTTCTTAGTCTTATAGGCTTGAACATTTAACCAAAATTCTTCATTTTTGGGCTTTAGAAACGGTTCCATGGGATAATATCACGGGCACTATTTTCCCTCTTTCTTCGGTTTTCCAATTCTTCAATCTTTTGCTCCAAATTCCTTCTCTTTTTATCTTTTTGATCAAATTCTTCATCAACTTTTTACTTTAGCTCAAACACATTAAATCAACCAAATTAAGTTAGTTTAGTCTATTAAATTCTACTCAAAGAACCTTAAAGCTCACAGAAAGGTATGAATAAGTTGGCATTTTCGCCAACTTATCAACTCCCACAACTTTAAGCTTTTGCTTGTCCTCAAGAAAAATAAAATGACACAAAACCTTAAAACATCAAAGCACCGGAGTTTTATGACTTTGGTTGGCACCACCAATTAATCAAAAAACATGAGAGACATCCACAAGAATTTTCAATTTCAAATTTCGAGATCAAATGCTAAATCATCATTAGAATCAAGAATCAATCAAACCATGACAACAAAGTTTCAAATCTTGTCTCTTTGTCACAAGACGACCCTTTTATCTCTCATTCATCTTCATTGGAAAATGACACAATCCAATTCTCAAGATTTCATGTACCCTCACAACAACAATGGATCCCAAACACACAAGATTGCATTCAACACAAAAAATGATAAATCAAAGAAATATTCCCCAGTCTCTCAAAATATGTTCAAGTGCACATCATTAGTAGTATAGGCTTGCCCAGTTGCCCTTCATGTAGATCTCCACTAATGTAGGCCTACCTAATGAAGAATCACATAGGGCTTAAGCGAGTTGTAATATAGGTTTTTGGTCAAGGGTAGGATATCAATTTGGATACATAGTGACTAAAGACTACCTAAGCACTACAAATTGCAACAATTCAACGCACACTTCCTTGACAAAATCTTCCCACACTTTTTGCTCCTTTTTTCAATTTTATCACCTTGTCAACCCTTTGATTTCACGATTCATCTTTTTTTCAATTTTTTTAATTTTCTTTTAAATATATATAGGTAGGGTATCAATATGGTAAAATGACTTTCACCATCACATCAACTTCATTTATCTACAATGTATTTTCCTATCTCCTCCCCCAATTTTAGGCTAAAACCTAAGTTGTAGCTTTAAGTGCTTAAGAACGCCGCGACATCAAAAGAGGTCAACACAAAGGGGAAAGGCTTGTAATATGATTGCCAAACTAAAAGGCTAAAGGTTCATGGGAGTTTGGCTAGGATAAACATGCAATGGGTAGGCAATTTAAGGTATAATGTCACGATTGAAGCCCATGGCACGTATTGTCCGCTTTGGGCCTAGACCCGCACGAGTTTGTCTTTTTGGGCTACGCCACCTCGAGCCCCGAAAGCGCGCATACCATGTGAATATGTGTCATGCCTTATAAAGCTCTTCACTTCCTCTCTTATTCCGATGTGGGATTTGTCTAAGGTGACATGTGCACCCTTATTTAGAAGCTTGCCAGTCTAGAAGCCTGCCAGTCCTGCTTGACCCGCCCTCATCAGCCCGGGGCATCACATTCACCCCCCTTAGGACTCAGCGTTCTCGCTGAGGTTTGCCCCACTATCGTACCGAGGGAGGTTTGGCTTTGATACCAAAACTTGTAGCAATCCTTTGGGAGGATGCCTTTTACGAAACAAAAGCTAGTTTAATACTTACAACGTTCAAAAGAAACTAATTTGCAAAAGATATTCATAATGATTTAGTAGCGGAAATAGGCCCATGCGAAAAAGTTTTAAAAGGGAGACATTTTTCTTTTCATAATACATTTCGCAAAATATCTTAAATGAAATACAATATCATAGTATCAATTTAATGTGGTAGTACCCTTCTTGAATAATCATACGTTGAAGTAACGTCCTAATGAAATTATATTTTCCATTCAGCACTACTGCAAGTTCATATTATACACGAATTTCAAACTTAATATCAAAAGAAAACAATTCTCTTCCTTTGTACGTAATTACAAAGCAAACTCCTCCTCTGTCCATAATTACAAAGCAAAATGTGAACTTAGTACATGACACGAACCGAGTTATTAGCATACCCCAAAACAACAAAACAAGTCACAAGCTTATGGTCTTATTGTCCAACAAGCCTCCAAATTTTCATACATAAGTGTAACATATGGATCATGTACAAATCCCAAATCTATACAAAACTTAGATGCGTATGCAAATGCGATCTTAACTAAAGCTCCCAAAAGTCTATCTAAATGGCCATCTTTAAATCTCTTCCGGAACATCTACGATAGAGAACAACTATCGCTTAGCGTAAAGCTCATGGCGTATAACTTTGGGCTTAGAGCCATTAGATTCTCCAATTCCCATCAGTCATACATAGCTCAAATGAGATAAAAGAAATCATGTAAACAAGTTTATCAAAAGTATCAAATATCTAACTCCGAAGAGATTCCAAATATCAGTATTAGCATTTAGGGGTATGCATTCGATTTATCGATTCGATTTTGACCCTTATCGATAATTACTTATCGATTATCGATTTATACATATGCTTATCGTTATCGTTTCAATAAGGTTTCGATTTTTTCGATTTCGATTTATCGATTTTTGGGGCTTATCGATTACACCAATAAGAAAATTTGCGGGATTCCACGGAAAGTATATTGCTATAAATACGCCTAACTAATATGGACAAAAAAAAGCTAAAATAAGACGAACACCGTTTATAACATAAAAATTATGTCAACAAGCACATGCAACGAAACTAAAGTAAGGGATCAAATGTATGTCACCAACACTCCAACAGTATAAAAAAACAAAACAAAACAAAATACATCATCACGGATAATTTTGTTTTCCATTAATTTGAACTTCATTCCCTTGAGCTTTAAATATGATCATTCCTTTAAGTGTGGTAGAGGAAATAATAGGGTTAGGGACTTACGGTAAAGGAAAGGGTATTATAGAATAAGGGTAAAAAAAAGATTAAAAAAAATTTGTCTTTTTAGTATATCTTATCGGTTTATCGATAAACCGATAACCGAAAAGGACAAAATCGAAATCGAAATCGAAATCGATAACTCGATAAGGAAAATTTCGAAATCGAAATCGATAAATCGATAAACCGATAACAAATAATCGATTCGATTTATCGGTAAACCGATTCGAATGCACACCCCTATTAGCATTAAAAGGCAAGTGTCAAGAAAGCTTATAAAATCACTTCAAGAGAGTTTGTCAAATAACAAATTTCACCCAATATGTATGTCATGCCATCAGACAAGCATAATCAAATATCAAGATGGACTAAATCCCTAAATCAAGTAGGGTCGAGACCCAATAATCAAGAACCATATTAAAAATGGCTTTCTAGGTCGTACTTAACATGGAGAAGTTCCATGACTAAGACGAACCACAAATCCAAAGTCAAGATGGCAAAAGATCCGAGTCAAGAGGCATGCCGATATAGGCGACAATGTCACAGCCACAAGAAGGACAAAGTCCCTACAAGAACGCAAATTGGTCAAACAATCCATACAAGTGAGCGATTTAGCAGATATCTAACAATGCTTAGAGATAATACCAATACAATTATGTAAAGTGAAGAGGAAGGAAACAATAACTCTAGATAACTCAAATATTCCATCAAGTAAAGATGTTTCAAGATTATACACAAACCTTGGTGTTTTACAACACAATACGTTCTACCACAACTTGAGGAGTTCAAATCTTCTATGCTACAGACCAAACCAACTTGTCCACTTCCTCAAACAATTCCTTTTAGCTTGTACAAGAGTATATATATATATACCTTAAATACACAATAAATACCTATTTAGGTTTGGTGAATCTGAACGTCGAAACTAAACATAATATCGGTGAAAATCACCCTAAACTTTCAAAACAGAAATTCTGGACAGCACAATTGTTGCGACTCAGTTTTGAGGAGGTAAACGAAAAAACTAGATTTTGTGGTCTTCATGAAAGTTGTAGATATATGTCTTGGGGTTCCAGAGAAATTTAAATCACCCCAATATTAGTTTCTTATAAAAAGTTATGCTCAAGATACTAACAATAGTACATGGAGGGTTTGCAAAACAGAAATTTGGGCAACACCTGCCCTGTACTTTATCACCCCTTTTCGGGTAAATACAAGCAAAATTAGGTTTTGGAGCCTGAACAAAAGTTCTAGAGCTATGAAATAGCTTTCCAGAACAACTTGGCTCACTTAAAACGGAATTTTATACGAGGAGATATGCTAAAAATATTAACAATTGTCTTGAGAAATAAAATACGAAGAGGGGCAGCTAGACCGAGTAGGGGTTCGAATCTATCTCTTCGAAAGGGATGAACACCGTGAAGTCCACCCTTTTAGCCTAGAGGAAATTTTTAAGCAACTTTGTGATGAATTAACGGATGGCGGGACAATGAGTGATGAACCTGTAGAAGTGGTAGCTATGGGTAAGAAGAGTCGTATTCCCGATCATAAGGGTTTGGTAAACTTACCTCAAACGTGAGAAGTAGCTTGTGGCTCAACTGAGACAAGTCTTGTGATCTCTTTCGTCTCTCCTCCCTGTCTCAATTCTGATTGATTAGCTTCTTCCTTCGCGCAAGGTTGGTGATTTGGTGGGAAAATTTGATGAGATGAGAGGAGTTTTGGGGTTTTATTTTGCTGGAGAAAACGAATTTGACGAGGTGGTTAAAGATATTTCACAAAGGTGATATATATCATCTTGGATAAGGATGAAATAAAAAGGTGGCTGCCCAAACTTTTACTTCTTTTGATAGATATGAAAGAGTGGCTGCCCTAAACATTAAATATCCACTGTATTTCATAACAAATTTATCAAAAAAATAATAAACGTTAATCATAGCAACACCATGAAGCTTCCTTATAATTATTAACACAATCTAAAGTAAACAATTTTCATATACCGTCAAATTCACATAGGGAGTACGGAGTAAATATATCCCTACTCTCCCTCTGTTTCAATTTAGATGTAGTTTGACTTGGCACGAAGTTTAAGGAAAAAAAGAAGATTTTTGGAATATGTGGTGCTAAAAGCTTAAGGAGCAAAAGCTTAGTGGAACCATGATATTTGCGCAGCTATATGAGCTTTTCATTAAGGGTAAAGTGAGTAAAATAAAAAGTTTAAAGTTAAATTGTTTCTAAATATAGAAATGTGTTCTTTTTGGAATGGACAAATAGAAAAATGTGTCATTTAAATTGAACGGAGGGAGTATAAAGATATGGTCAATTGTCAATGGATTCAACTGGAAGAACATGTGATGAATCTAAGCGATATCTTCTAAGCATAGAAACATGAAAGACATTGTGGATCTTGTCTAACTCCTGGAAGAGCTAGTTTATATGCAATTGGACCAACTCTCTCAAGTACTTCATATGGTCTAGTAAATCGGGGACTAAGTTTTCCTTTTTGGCCAAATCTTGGCGCGTGAGATAAAAGAGCTTAGAAACAAGAAAATTTCATTAGTGAAAGTCTTTTGGAGAAATCAATCTTTTGCTCCAAATTCCATCTCTTTTCATCCTTATTGATCAATCCTTCAACTGTTTCCTTTTAGCTCAAACACCTGAAACCAACCAACTTAAGATGGTTTTGGTTATTAAGTCATACTTAAAGAACCTTAAAACTCAAGAAAAAGGTATGAATAAGTTGGCAAAATGCCAATTTATCAGTCCTTCAAAAATGCACTAATTTAAGAGGATCCCACACGTGTACTGCGGCATTTTCGGAGGATCGGGCACATAGATTTGCTTTGCTTACTCCGGCTGTTCCCTTTCAAAAACTTTCAGCTAATAGGTGTAACTCAATAATTGATTTATTCATCTGCTGCAGGTTAAAATTCAGAAGGAAAGTGAAGTTAGATTGAAGATTATTGGTACACGTGTTGATGCCACAGAAATTGTATGTCATCAGCTTCCCTCTTAATTTTGTGAAATTTCCTAGCGACCTTGAGTGATGCCCTAAAATTTTGATAATATTCTAACTATGTACAAAGTTTCCACATTAGGTAATGATAGCTGATTTTTTCCGATATGGTAACATGGTGACTCCAACCCCCAACCGTAAGGTTGGAGGTGGTAACAAAAAACTGATTTTCTCCCATTGATTCAACAAATAGCTGTTATAGAAAAATAGTTGTTAGAGACATTTGCTCTGGCCTCTTTCGAGTTGTCATTATGAAGATCCATATAGTTTTTAATGTTGACCTCCCTTTTGAATAACTTTTACTAAATTTCGAGTCATAAAGTTTGGATTTGTTATCGCCACTTTTAGCTAGTGAATCCATGTTTTATTTATTTTTGGGGTTGGATGTGGGGTTATCGAGGGACATTAAGTGGCTAGGATAAACTAATGACTGTAGAAGGTCCTGAAGCAGAGAAGAAGGAATATAAGAGAAGGAATATCTGGATAAAATAGAGATACTAGGAAATGTTATTTGTGCCGACTATTATGCTAAAAAATCTCTTGTGGTTGGGATATGACCCCAAAGAAGTAGGGTAAATTCTAAATGCCGATACTGTTAATTCCTCTTTGGATAGTAGATATTGTTACTGGTACTCTTGCAATCGGTTTAATATGTACTTTACTTTAGGTTTGTATTCCGGATTGGGTTTATTCTTGTCGTGATCGAATGATAATATTAAGTTGTCAACATGAGAGTGTAAGAACACAATGAGATTCCGTTCTTTGGGAAGAGCAGAATCATAATATTTTTTTTTCCTGAATGATAATATGAAAGGGAGAAAGAGAAAAGACCATAGGCACTGCAACTTTTTTATCAAGGATATACAAGCATAGGTTCCTAAGATAATTTCAAGCAAAAATAAGAACTCCAACATTTTATATTTACTTAGTGTTGCATGGATTCTTCGTTATCTCCCTCACATGTTGGTTCGCGTGTCCTGTTTCAGTTCTGTATTGGTACGATAAAGGATGATTTTCTGGGTGTGATCAGTGATCCAGGCGCAAATGCTTGAAACGCGCACATACTTGACCTTTGTATATAGCTGCTCCTGTACCTTTTTGAGGAGAAGTGATGTTTTCATCGTTGAAATATTGTAATAGAAGCTTCATGTAATTTCCTCTTGAGAACGAAGCCCAGATCTAGTTGATTTATATTCTAGGCCAGATTTGTATCTGCAGCTAGATTCCAAGGTAAGGTTTGTCCTCCTTACTTGTACTTTCCTCTTTCCTTTTTGAGGTACCATTAATTTAAGTCCACACTGGTGTTCCGCCTGGGTGGAGATGTTCATCTCCTTCTATATTTGAAAACATAAAAGGTTATATCTCTGGTTATTTGGGTTAATGAGGCATTTCAACAGTGTTTTCTATTAAATGAGATATCTGTTGAGGGTCAGTTTGTTGTCTTTCTCCTATTATGACATTTTTGAGTTCATAGAACAAATGAGCTCAAGGTTTGTGAACCAGTGACATCAATAGGTAAGCAATATGTTATTCTACTTTTAGGGACTGCGTGTAGCACTAATATGTTCTACTCCCTCATACCATTTTATGTTGTACCTTATTAGTCCATTTAGAAAAGAATGGTATTACTTTAAGCTCCTCGTTGGCCAGAAATCTTATTGCATGATTAAGACACAAGTTCCAAAAGTCTTTCTTTTTTGCATGTAAAGCAAAGATCATCTTTTTGGGTTTGATTAGTATTATATTTTTTTAAAAAAGATTTTGAGTTAGGCACTTGCCTTAAGATCTATTTATTTATGTCAAATTAACCCAACTAATCTTGGCCTAAAACAAACTATGCAGGCAGGTTATATATTAACACGTTTTAATCCTTTCAAATTTTGTTGACACCTATTCAATTGAAGTTTAATCATAAAGAAAAAGAAAACCAACAATTTTAGTTCCTAGTATAGTTAACATGGTGATGACACCCTGAAGTGGTAGAGTATTTCTGTTGAAATTAAGCCTATAGATAACCTAGTATGTCAAATAAAATCATCTCCAAAACTGAAAATCTATGCTGTTAGTTTAATATGTTGCTCCATTCCTTCTAAGATTTATCCCAAAAAAGGCATGTGGATAAAGTAACTCAATGGCACTTGTTAAAAACTTTGGCATTATTTGTATTATTTGTCCAACTTTATTACTTTTTCTCTCGTGTCTGAAATTGGAAAATTTTAGACGGGCAAATGATAGTGATGAACTCTCAATAGAAAAGAATTTGTATTCAACTGAACAATTGTCTTGGAGAACCATCAAACGCCAATTTAAATGGCAAAACAACTGCAACCCAAAAATTTACAAAGATAAATAATGAAGAGTCAAATTTGGACATCGTGTCACAATATGAGAACCCCTTGGTTATGGTGTGCTTGAGGATGACTTCGACTTCCGGGTAATAGGCAGCTTGACCGCCTTACCCGACGTTGAAACACAAGATGAAGCCATGTCGGCCTTATGAACATGAAAGACAAAAATCTAATCATATCGAGGAGGTGACGGTGATGGTGAAGAAGGAGAGAGTGAGTTATAGTAGTAAGGTGGTGGAGGGTATGGTGGCGGTGGTGGCTTATAATAGTCAGAAGGATGCTCATATTCCTAAGATGCAACTGGTTTCTTGTAATGATTTTCCTTTGACATAGCTGGTACTTTGTAGTAGTTATCTTTTGGTACCGACAGAATATGGTACATATATTCTGGTATATGAGTAATTACCTTGTAGTAGTCATTTTTTGTACCTTGTAAGACCCTTTCTTAGACACTGATGGCACTTTGTAATAGTTTCTTGAAACTGAAGGCACCTTGTGATAGTTGTTAGATGCGGTGATCTTTTATAGTAGTCATTCTTTGGTAAAAATGGTACCTTATACAGTCAAATTTCTCTGTAACAGCCTTGTTTGTTCCGAATACTTTTGGATGTTATAGCGAAGTGCTGTTATAGAGAACATATATTATAACATAACATGAAAATTGGTTCCGAAAAAAGCTCGACTTTTATAGTGAGGTGTTGTTATATAGGAATGTCGTTTCAGAAAGGTCTGATCGTACTAATAATTAGACATCAAAGGTACCTTGTAGTAGTTATTTTTCCGAAGAGATGACGCCTTCTAGTGGTCTTTAGGTACATTTGGCTTTGGCACCTTGTCATAGTGAGATTTGGCTATATGTGGTACATTGGTGTAGTAATTTTTTGGTATCTTAGGCATCTTGTAGTGGTTCTTGGAGACTTGTGGCACTTTGTAGTTTGTCAAACTTGGTTGGTATATTGGAGTAGTAATCTTTTGCTTGGGATGGCACTTTGTAATTGTTTTTTGACACCGGTGGCACATGATAGATGTCAGCCTCGAATACTGCTCTTGGTACTTCATTGTATATTGAAGTGTCACGACTCAACCCCGGTCGTGATGGCGCCCAGCACACTGCTAGGCAAGCCCGACTATTTAGACAACCTTGACCGATTAATCACAGAGGATAAATAAATATTCACAACTAAAATACCAAATTAAATGCGGAATTTCTGAAATAATTTCTAACATCGAAACCCCAAAATAAAAATACTAATCAGCCCACAGGATCTGGTGTCACAAACATGAGCCTCTAATACAGAATATTCACCTATCACAAGTCTGTCTAGGAAAAATGCGAATAAAAGGATAAAGATAGATGGGAGAGATCAAGGCTGCGAACGATACTCTCGGATACTGCTGCTCAGCTAAACAAATCCTCACTCACCCTGTGGTGCACCTGGATCTGCACACAAGGTGCATGGAGTATTGTGAGTACTTACAACCCAGAAAGTAATAAATATAAATAAAGTCTGAGGATAAGAAATCCCAAATAAACACAAAGTAAAGCTATAAATACAGTAAAACAGCAAAGACAATTATAATAATACCACAACAGATAAAGAATAGATGACAATTAAAATATGCAATGCAACACATAAACCGGTACTCTCCAGTACCCCGCTGCGGCGTGCAGCCAGCTCCATTTATTTAACGTCGACGGCACTCACTGGGGGTGTGCAGACTCCGGGAGGGGCCTCTTACGGCCCAAGCGCAATAATAAGCCATCTCGTGGCCTCAATCAGGCCCTTGGCCTCATATCAATATCATTATCATACCACTGCGGCGTGCATCCCAATCCCATACTCAGTCCAAAATCACATAAGCCTTTCGGTACAATAAAATAAGAATATTCAGCCCAAACTTTATTTAAAAATATTACTTTAGTTTCTACTTTTAGAAAAATGGCTGAGTTTACAAAACAGTGTTAAATACCAGGACTGAGTTCAATATCTAGAAATATGGTAAGAAACCAGTAAAATAATCCCTGAAGGATTCAAGTAGTTGGCACGAAGCCCAATTATGACAATTAATCCATTTTTATAAAGATATCACAAAACTACAATGAATTAGGTAGTAATTTTATTAAGCGGGACGGACCAAGTCACAATCCCCGACGGTGCTCTACCCCACGCCCGTTATCCGGCGTGTAAGTCACCTCAACATAGCACTACAATATACAAATTCGGGGTTTCAAACCCTCAACACAGCATTTACATTTATTACTAACCTCAAGCTGGTCAAAGTCCTAGCTTGCTATGCCCTTGCCTTTCGAATTAACCTCCTTGTGCGTCGAATCTGACCAAAACCACAACGAATACGTCACAATATGCTAATGGGACAATACCCAATCGAAAACAATCGAAAAATAGTGAAATTCCCGAAATTAGCAAAAACCCGAGCCCCGGGCCCACTTCTCGAAAATCAGTAAATTTACCATCAACGGATTCCTTATCTCGCCACGAGTCTATACATATAAAGAACACCAAAATCGGAGTCCAAATGACCCCTCAAATTTCCATTTTTGTTCTCTTAGGTTTCAAGCCCTAAACCACCATTTTTGACCTTAATTCCTTGAGTTTTCAGTCTAATTTCATGTATTTGCATGATAAAATCGTGTTCTAAGTCCAAGGATGCTTACCTGATCGAAGTCCTTGAATTTCCTCTTCAAAATCGCCCAAAAACTCCCCTAGTCCGAAGTTAAAATATGAACTCTTTCAAAATTCGCGAAGGAAATAAAACCCCTTCTGACCAGTTGTTTCCGCATCTGCGGTGCAGTTGTCGCTTCTGTGACTTCCGCTCCCGCGGCCTTCTTCCGCTTCTGCGGAAATTCCCAAAGTCCCCACTGTCCGCTTCTGCGACCTCATCCCCGCATCTGCGGCTTCGCAGATGCGGATTCCCTTCCGCATCTGCGGTTCTTCCTTTCCAAGACCATTTCCACACCTGCGACCTTTTCCTCCGCACCTGCGCAACCGCATCTGCGGTTCCTTTCCGCAGATGCGGAAATACCAGATACCAGATGTGATCTGCAATCTCCAACTTCAATTTTCATCCCGTTAGCCATCCGAAATCACCCCGAGGCCCCCGGGACCTCAACCAAAAACACAAACATGATCCAATTATGTTCGTATTTGTTGGTTTAGTTTGATTTATCTCTGGTTTGTTTTTGATAAAAGGCAAACCAAACAACATATTGTCGATCGATTTAAAATTTAAATCAAATCAAACCCAAAAAATTCGGTTATTTAATCGGTTTGGCATTCGGTATTCGGTTTAACGAACCCTAAACATCTCTTCTTCGGTTCATTAATTTCCATGTTATATATTGAACTATTTTTTTTCAAAAAGAAATTTTAGATGGAGTTTTAGAAATGTAAAAGTTCTCATAGATAGAACTATAGGAGCTTCCGTTTCTTCTTTCATAAGGATGATTAAACCACACAACATAATTAATTTGAGGTGATTTACTCACATAATCCACTACTAGGAAAAAAATAAAATTTCATTTTTATGTAGCTCATATGCTATATATAGAAAAAGAGTTTCTACTAAGTTACCCTATTCCATTCATCAACCTCTTTTAATTTCTTTAGTTAACCTTTGAGCAGTCAACATCTGGACTAATCTTGAAAGGAACATTGGAACCACACTGTCCGGGGATACTAGCGGCGCGGCTGACCTCTTCTCCGGTGGCGGCGGAGGCAAGATTCTTCACGCACGAGCACGCGCTCTGACGGTCCGCGGTGGTGGTTGCGCTAGCAAGAAGAGATTTAAGCCCACTACAACATTCTGTCGGCACGCTTCCACCAACCAACACGTAGCTAAGGCATGGTTGCATGTCGTTGAATACTGTGTCACATGTGATCGCCGCCATAGCCGGTGGCGGTGCCACCACCATGCAAATAAGGAGGAAAGAAAGAAATAATTTCTTGCTTATAAGAATTGTAGGGTCACTAGCCATTGTAGGGATTAGTAGTTGAGTGAAATCGAACTAAAAGAGATCTCACTTTTTGACGATTGAACTTGAAAAAAAAAACTTTTTGATATT